CTGTCAGTAGCTGGCTTGTTTCTATATAAGTAAGTGTTTCTTATACTTTTATTTTTGATATGTTGAATGCTTTCTTCTGATTAGATGTGTCATTGCACTTTGGAGGCAAAATACCACAGATATATATGATATTCTATATTGGTCACACTGCATGTGGTTTATGATGTGAGGCTGATATTCCCAGCTGTTCTTGACCTTGACCAATTGGTCAAAGTAGGTCTCTTATTGTAAGGTTACCATGTTTCCTTTCAATGTCTGAAATTACTTGTGGAAGAACTTTGAGAAGTGGAAATCTGTGCTCTCTAACTTTTATCCAGCATATAATAACATTTATTGGTGGATTTTTATATGAAACAGTTATTATAATGATGGTTACCTACTAGTGGATTTTTCTATTTTCCTCTACTCTGTCTTTATAAACTGAAATGTACTGGAGAGTTGTTCTTATTCCCATTTATCTATATTGATAGATATATTGATGTTTGCTGTTATTCGTTTTGTCATATCAGTAATAATTCAATACTAGTTTTATGTTTGTATGCATTAATTCACTCATTCATTTATTTAGAGTGGTGTGTGTGTGTGTGTGTCTGTGTGTGTGTGTGTGTGTGTGTGTATGCATGGTTACAAATGATTATATAGATGTGTGGGCCTGTCTATGTGCATGTGGAAGTCAGAGGAGGAAGACACTGAGCAACTTTCCTTGCTCTCTGCCTTATTCCTTTGAGATAGAATCTTTCACTGAATCTTGCCCTGCCTGTTTTCAGCTGAACTGGCAGCCAGCCTCACGAGCGCCCCTGTTTGTGCTGCCCACATGTGGCTTTTTACATGGGTACTTGGGATTCCCGACTCTAGTCCTCATTCTCAGGCTTGTGTAGCACGTGCTCTTACCCACAGAGCTGTCTCAGATCAGACAGCTATCAAATTTGTGACCCTTATTTTTATTTGGGAAAATAATCTGTAAATACAGAAACATCCAGTAGGCTCAGAAGATTCTGATAAGTGGAAGATATTAAAAGTCTGTTTACACATATCAGCACTAAAAGGTGCATTTATTTGAGCTGAAATATTATCAAATTTTCTGTCCTTTAGCCTTTGTTTGGATAATTTCTTTCTTTTTGCAAAAAACTTACCAAATTATTTCTGTTTATAGTTTTTTAATATTTTTCAAAATGTGACATTGTAAAATCTGGTAAAAAATATAATTTTGTCATGTTAAAGAAGAGCATCAAGCCAAGCATGGTGGGTTTTGATCGTGATCTCAGCAACCAGGTGATGAGGCAGGGGGATTGTAATGATTGCCAGGCCAGCTTGGACTATAATAGAGTGAGATACAATTTCAAAAAATAAAATAAAATATATTAGAATTGTTCCATCAAAAACTTCTTTCCACAAAGCCAAATGTATGAAAGTTTAATTACAGAATTAAAAAAAGGTATTTTATGCAACATGAGCATTTACTGTTTAATTTCATAATATGTCTTAGTAAGGATAAATTCCAATGTCTTCTTGTTTATAATCTCTTAACCATAATCGCAACATATAAACATCAAAAATATGAAGTTAATTCTTGTTAAGATAGCTTAACTGCTTCTCATGCTTCTGACGACACTGCCACGCCATTCCGGAGGCCCCTTCAGAATCCAGCCCATGGCCACTGTGGGGCACCTTTGCATTTCTAAATCCTAATAAGTGAGCAGCAACCAAGAGCTTGTTGACTGCTGTGCGTATTGATGATTTGATAGTGTAATAGCAATTAATCTTCAGTATCACCTGTTACATGCATGTTGTTTTTATGTATGGAGAAGTCTGAATAAATTTTGACTAGTTCTTATTGGAATAAAATACCAGCTTCATTATCTCTACACTATAATGGATTTCTTTCCTATAGATTTCATTTTAGTAAAAACATTGTTTTTTCTGTAATCCATTGCTTTTCCTACATATATTCATACTGTCACTTCCATTCTCAATATCATATTTTTGATCATTTATTTTATTTTTAATTATATCTTTGCACGTGTGTGTGTGTGTGTGTGTGCGCGCGCGCGCGCGTGCGTCTGTGTACATGAACACGAGTGTAGGTGCCCACAGAGACCAGACGAGTGTGTTGGGATCCCTGAAGTTATGCAGGTGGTTCTGAGCCACTGAGCAGGAATAGAACTTAAGTCATCTACAAGAACAATATGTGCTCTTGACCACTAAGCCATCCCTTCAGCCCCTATACTATTGAACGTTTAAGTCTTGTTACTGTCTTGGTGACAGTAACATTTACAATGAGATCAGATAGTCAATTTTTGAATAATAAATGTCCCCCAAATTAGTTCCTGATTCTGCAATTTTGATTTAAAAATTGAACCATTATGAGAACAAGCTGGTATTTAATTTGCCTTATCAACAGATATTCCCATCATTTAACTGCAAAAACTGCAGTTATTGGTGTCACCTCATTAATAGCCACTATTTCATGTTCTACAGATTCACAGAAGGTTGGAAATAAGGTTAAGTGAAATTCATGGAGGCCAACTGTTATCTGGTGTGCATGAGCAATCTTGCTGTTTGGAGCGGTTCATAAACGCACTTGAGACAGCGGTGTGTGTCTGTGGCCAGTCACCAGCTTTGAGCAATCTTTTGAAAACAATGACTAATGTTTTCTGAGAGTAAGGTTGCTGCTTCTTCAGCAGATTTCTGACTCCTGGTTGCTTTGTGGTCAGTGATGGCAATGTTAAGGTTCCCATGATATGTGGAAATATATACTGATAATATACTGATTAATATACTGATTAAATATACTGATTTTCATATCTTCACCATCAACGTTTTTGAGAAGCAGAAAATTAATCCCTATATTATATCAATACATTAATCCGTTATTTCTGAAGGCTTTATTGCAAAATAGAAGCCACGTAACAAGTAATAGCAAGAATGGTAGATATACAGTATACAACAAGTGGCCTGACTATAGCTATAGGAACATGCAGAAGCTCCCAAGCAAAGCTGCCTGCCTCTTTTGCTCACACATGTTTTATGTACATCTAATCTGTAAATCTCCGCAGGTGCCACTAACACCACTGACTGATGTCCTGGTGGTCACATGCTTCTCATAGGCCATAGTGCATGCCACACAACACAGACAATGGCACAACTAGCTGCTGCACCAAGAGATGATGCAAAGGTTTGCAGAATCAGATACACCTTCCAGGGCCCCCCCTCCGCCGCACTTACAGCTAGTGCTCAGGGCCGTGTGTCTACATTGTAGCAGCCAGTGCCCTGAGTGTGGCACTCCAAACGGCTAGGAAAGGAAACATCTGCATTTCAGTTTCCTGCATGTTACACTGCCTAGCTCAATGAAGGGCTAGGGCTCTCAAGGTTTACCACGAAAGAGACTGCATTAGGGCTGAACTACTGTGATCTTCTATTTTGTTTTCAGTATCGTTTGTCCTTATTCTGTGTCCCGATATATTCCACACTCCTTCTTTACTTGATCCTTCACACCAGGTTAATCCCTTCCCGTTTTCTAAACATACCTTCTATTCTCTTAATGTTAAATAGAAAAAAAAAGAACCCCGAACATCCCTTGTCCAACCGGTAATATACTTGTCACAATATTACTGATGCCTTTATACCTACACAATATCTGTAGTCCTTCCTTGACCTTTATCCAAAATGTTCTCACTAATGCTTTGCAGTAGCGTAAAGGCACTCTGGTGTTGTTTCAGACACATCTTTGCTTTAAGGAGTGATTTTACATTGAGCTTCAGAAGGTCAGAGATGGTCTTTCCGTCTCACTCTGACCAACAGTGCCAACAGCTTCTTCCTTTTAAGGCCTGCTGTTTATAACTACTCATGGAACAGGTGGAGCAATGGTTGGCGATTCCTACTAAAGTGAAACCTGCACAGTCTTACAAAGAAAAGAAACACTGTCACAGTTTACTGCCAAACTTGAATCACAAGAAAAGATGGAATTGAAGCCTGACTGAATACTTTCCTTCGCCTTTCCACACAGTTAACTTGCTGTCTACATTTTGGACCTGCAGGGATGCTAAATAAGAACACTTTGTCCCTTTCTACAGCTCTAATGTCCACTACAAAAGAGGATTGGATAAAGATAGAAAGTGTGTGTGTGTGTGTGTGTGTGTGTGTGTGTACATGCACACACTCAAAAGCATGCACATGCTTCAAAGAGACGTTCCACAGAGGTTAACAGCAATGGTCACTGGAGAGAGACAGTGGGCTTGGAAGGATATAGAAATGATCCTTCCATCCTTGCCCTGTAGATCCTCAGTTGCTCTAGTATTTATATAACATGTAATATATGTAAAATTGCGAAGTGATCATTTTAAAAGAATTCTTTGGCTACACAGCACAATGTGCAGATACAGAAACCGCCTTCAGGAATTTATTTATGATGCTGCAGATATCAAGAGAACAGAATTTAGTCTGAATACTTTTCATGTGATATTCTCTGTGGTCATTTGATAAAACTTTGTCATAGTAAAAAAAATATACGTATACACACATATGGCTATTAAGAGTAAAGTGGAAAACATTGAAAATATAGATGTCTAAGTTCTTTGGAGATCATATACTTTTCATGTAAAATATTTACGGCTTAAAAATCAGTCAATTCATAGATTTAAGATAAAAAAAAAACATTGTGACTAAACTAGGGATAGCTATTAAAATAGTTAATTCTTTAAGGATCAAGGAAGTACTAGCCATAAAATAAAATGAAAGACCATCTGGAAACCAAAGAGACTGGAAATTACAAAGCAAATTTTGTCTGCTCAGTGCTTCTGGAGGACCTCAGCACATGGCTATAAACCCATTCGGAGATAAATGCAGAGTTTGTTTGATTACAATGAGCCTTAAGATGGATTCAGCATTTATGTATCTCCTGGGAAGCTTTGTGAGTCAGAAACATAAAACCAAAGTACCAGGAGGTTATTAAAATACTATTTCCTGTTGCATCATAGAACTCATGAAGAGAATAAACATACCGATTACTTGCATGGCTGGTTCCACGTCTGTTGTGGCCTCTTCCAACAAGGACAGTAGCTTGGCTGATATCTGATGCACTGATTCAATGTTGCTAAACAAGCCCTCCATGTCCAGCCTGTCAATCTGAAGAAGCAGAAACACTGAGCTGAGAGACAGCCGATGGGAAGAGAACTACTGTGTGCACCGCACTTCTTCCTGCTAAACAGTGAAGGTTTTATCTGCCTCACCCTGCTCTGTGAACATGCTCATCTGGGTTTCTAAATGTAAATTTATAGCTTAGATGAGTAGCTTTTGATTATGGAAATTGTGATGGTGTGTTATAGCTCAGTCTTAAACAGCAACAAAAACATTTGACTTGTCTGTATAGCTGTATTTCTGAATACAAACCAGACTGGGAAGATTTAGACCTAGTAGTACTTTTATTAACTGCTTTCTATGCAAGCGTATACCACTGAATTGGGTTAGAGTGATGGCTCAGTGGTTAAGAGCACTTGCTGCCCTTCCAGAGGACCTGAGTTCAAATCCAGGCACCCACATCAGACTGCTCAGAGCTTCCTGTAACTCCAACTTCAAGGAAACTGACACCTTCTTCGGTCCTCTGTGGTAACCTGAATCTATGTGTCATAACATACACGTTACAGAAAAAAATAAAAGTAGAGTATCTTACTGCTTTCACAGTAGAAATCAAATCATATCTTTTTCAAATAACTATTTCAAAGCTGTTTTAAACAACAGATGTTCTAAAAGTGATAACAAATAAATTGGCTGGGCAGCTTCTTGCTTTTTCTTTGATATAAATATACTAATTAAGGATTTTTCATATGTTATAATTTCATGCCTATTCTCAAAAAATCAGTGTGAGTTTATAATCTATCATATGTTCCTCATAAAATATTATTTATTCATCTTTCATCAAATATTTCCTGATTGCCTTCTGTGTCTTCAGAAATTCGACAGAAGAGAAATCCTGTCATAGAGAGGATTAGTAGAGAGAAGGGTAGGCAACTATGTTCAATAATCTGAGTGTGCTGAGAAATGCACTCTGATTTGGTCTTTAAAATGTTTTGCTTTTTATAATCAAATTAAGTTTATTCAGGATACAGCTACATTGATGTAGGATAAGCTGAGGTTAGTATACAGCAAAGAACAAGAATCAGTGCCATTTGTCCATCCTTTATTGTGCTATAAGTCACGGATGGGTAGACAGGTGATCAACAAACTTGCCGTAGAGAAGCTCCAATGGTAATGAAAGAATTGTTGAAAGAGGTCAGCAAAATCAAACAAGAAAGACACCAAGTCCAGCATGATGGATGATGGACAACAGTAACAGTGGACACAGGCAAAAGCTAGACCTGGGGCCCAGAAGATGGCTCAGTGGGTAAAGTGCTTGATTTGAAAGCATGAAGACTTGTGTTTGCATCAGTCCACGTAAATAGCAAGGTGTGATGATGTATGCTTGCAATTCCAGCACTAACGTGGCAAAGGCTGGAGAATCTCCGGGCTCACTGACCACTCAGTGTAACCTGATAGGATCCATGAGGTTCAGATTGTACTATAGCAGTGGTTCTCAGCCTTCCTAACGCTACAACCCTTTAATACAGTTCGTCATGTTGTGCTGACCCCCTCAACCATAAAATTATTATCATTGCTGCTTTGTAACTGTTATTTTGCTGCCATTATGAATTTCAATATAAATATCTGTATTTTCTGATGGTCTTAGGTGACCCCTGTGAAAGGGTCATTTGACCCCCAAAAGGGGTCATGACCAACTTGTTAAGAACAGCTGTAATAGAGAGTTTGTCTCAAAAAAATGGTAAAGAGCCATCAAAGAAGACACCTACACCTATATCCCACCTCCTACCTCTGACTTCCATTCACACCTGTATTATATGCATCACACACACACACACACACACACACACAGAGAGAGAGAGAGAGACAGGATTGAGGAAGAGGAGGGACAAATGGAGGAAGAAGAAAGGACAGGAGAGAGAGACAGAGACAAAGAGGGCTGATGGGATTCTTCAGGTGAAGGATAGAGAATACAATACGTCATCAAAGTCTATTAGAGCAGGGAGGAAGAAAGTCTCATGTTGGTCTTAGTGCTGTTTGGTTTTGAAGTTCAGTCGGTCTATTTTCCATATTGTATGTGTGTGTTATTTTGGTAAGCACATTCTCTCACAGAAGTTGGAAGAATGGCTTCACACCACACCTTTGCCAAACGACCATGACTGTGCCGGTTATTTCTTATGCTACACAGCTATACTTTATTTATTTCTTTCAACCAGTCCTGGGAAATTCCTCAGTCTATGTCATCAGCACTGTCCTCAAACTACCTCTAACGGTTTCTCAGACCCAGAGTGAAGTCCACGTGCTAGGAGACCATTGTGCCCCCTCCCATTTAACCAATTTTGCACTAATGGTCATTTAACTTATCAAATTTTGGCTAAGGGTTTTCTTTTTTTTTTTTTTAATTTCTTTTTTTTTTTTGAACATGAAATGCTTTTTTTATAGCATGTTTTACAAGGGGAGGGGGTAAGAGGGTCCAGGTGGTGGAAAAGTACAAAATCTTCTTGGCCTGTGCCTTGAAACATGTCATGGTCTATATGGTACACTGCCTTGAATTATGATCTACCTGCAGTTCTTCAGAAGATATGGTACACTGCTTGAGTTATGGTCTCCCTGCTATTCTTAAGAAGACATGGTACTCTGCTTTGAGTCTATCTGCAGTTGCTAAGCAGGATCTTGCAGTTGCCAAGCTTCAGAGGACATTGTGCAGGTGGGGAAAGGTAGGGGGTAAGGGTAAGGGCGAGGGTCCTGGCTTCTGGCATCTCCCCCTTCTCTGTTTAGTTAGAGAAGGCGTCTTATGTTCAATCCCAACTATGTGAGTTTTGAATTTGGATGTCTAATTATGGGGGGTCTTAGACAAGTTCACAACCCCAAAACACTGATGTGAGACGAGTCACATCGATGGTCGAAGGCTTTAGGCTGTCGACGATGGGCAATGTCAAGGGACTCTGATGTGGGTGAAAGGAGGGTGAGAGCCCTGTCTTAGGCCATGTAGGCTGCACCCACTCCCAGCACCACGCACTCCTCTTCGGCTGCATTGGACAATATTACACCCCAAACTGACAAATGGTTGGTAACTTGAACATTTACAAGAGACTAGGATGGCTGTGAGTTAGTCCAATGACGGGATTATTGTAGGTCCACTTCCCAGGGGCCCACCCAAGGCTAAGGGTTTTCTATCAGTCAAATTGGGAGCAACTAATAATTTTCTTAAAAAGAAATCCAAAAGGTCAACCCCAGAATCATTTGTCATCAAATTCATATAATCACTTATTTTGATCTAAAATTAGAGACCTTTATTTTGTTTTGAGACATGGTTTCTCTCTACATTACCTGGCTCTCCTGGAACTCCTATGTAGACCTGGCTGCCCTTGAACTCACAGAGATCTTTTGCCTCTGCCCCTAGGATGTAGAGCCAAGTGCCAGGATGCCAGCATCTCCAACTACTTCTATGCGTTTATTACAACAGAGGTTACATTTCAGTGGCCAAGTGCTTACATCAGTGTGTATGAAGCCCTGAATTTGGTTCCTAGCATAGAAAAAAAATTGCAAAAATTATCTACATCTCTGTAGTAATTACTACATCACAATTGCAATCAATACTGGCTTTTAGAGTCTTTAACCCAGGGTCTCCAAGAATATGCCTTCATTAAGCATTCACTTAAAAGGAAAAGATTTGTGTAGCTCTTTTGTATAGACTCTAGGAATGTTTGGGGTTTCTGTTTTCTATAGTAAAAGTATGTTTAATAATACACAATGGAAGAACATAACAGCTATTGGCTATTTTGTCAGTTAACATATATGACATTATTATTTAATAATCATTATCAACTGGTCAAAATTATATTGACCTATTATATTAGTTATCTTAAAGATTTATCTACTATGTCAGGTAGAAATAAAATGTGACTTATTTAAAATGTACTAGTTGCTACTATTTATTTGAAAGCTATCTTTGGGAGTGTGACACTTTAATCTTCTCATTTGCCTGTTTATAAGGTAGTGTTTCGATATGATTCATACACTGCCCATATTATTTTATTGTGCCGTGCAATCTTGACTTTGTCAATTTGAAGTGCTTGAATGTTAATCTTTCATCTACCCTCCATCTTCTCTGTAAAGTATGACCCATCTTGAAGACATACAGAGTAAAGCAAGTTGCCATGTGTGAAGTCATATATGAAAATTAAGACAGATACAGCACCATGGCTCTGCAGTTATCCACCCTCATAAAGGTCAGCAAATGCCACTCACAGGTACATTGCCACTTCTGAACTTCTTCAGTTTCTGTTGACTTTCCCCAAGTTGTCACTTCTACCTTTACTTGCCAAGGTCATTATCCTGTATATCTAATTTAGATTATAAATCCATTAGCAAGAATCTAATACTACATTCTATCTATAATCTTAGCTCAGTGCAACAAATTCTGAACAACAGAAACTCAGTTTTTAATTCCATTTCTTCCTGAAGGACAGAAAGGATTAAAACATCAATTGGCCTGGTTTCAATCCTATCACCACGGGCCCTTGGGGATTCTGTGAATCATAAAATGAATTCACATCCGGGCACGGCTGTGCCAAGGAACAAACAAACATCTGGTCCAAATCGGCTTTTAAAAGTGATAGATGGTTTTACGATTACTGTTATAAATTCACGGAAACATCCACATATATTTATTAATCGTTTACTCAAAACAGGGAGTGCTCTAAGAAGTTAAAATCAAATTCCACTTTAAATGGATTAAAATTTACTTTTGAATAAAAGTTTAAGCAAACACTATTTTTTTAAAAAATCAATAAATAGTAATTCAGAGCTACAAAACATGGAAATTAAAGGTCACTGTTTACGGTGATAATTTAATGTGTTGTTCTTGCAGGAGTATTCATGGAGGAACACTGATCAAATAGAATATTCCCATCACACCCGAATCATTACTCAAATCAGGTAGTGTAATGACTCTATTTGCTATTTTTGTTTATTAGTTTGTTTAAGGGTACTTTGGCTACCTATGGTGTTTTATAGTTTCATAAAATTTTAGTACTTTTTTTCTACTT